TTTAAATAAAGCATGTGAATTTTCACTAAAACATTTTAGCCGTTTTTTGCCAGAGTCTATGTGAAATTTCACTAAAACATTTTAGCCGTTTTTAGCCGCTTTTTTTGCCAATCTAGCCTGTCGGCCCAAAAAGTTCTGGCAACACTGTTTGAGAGCGAATGCTGCTAATTCTCTGAATTTTTGCTTCTGGATAATTTTGACTGGAGAACACGAGAACACTCTTAAGATCGAATACGTTTTCACCGTAAGACCGAATCAAAAATAATACATACCGAGAAAATATCAAAATTAACAAGTTCTGAAAGGATTATGAATTGTGAAATATACTCGATTTCCCCGTGGCACGCCATTTTTTTTTTTTCATTTATAAGAAAATTAATTGAGATCAAGAAATTTCACAGCGTTATCTCAAGACTCAATGTTCTACCAGGCTGGCAACACTTGCACTCAGATATGTTTTACGGAATTTAGATCATGCGGAAGTGAGCATGCAACGTTTGGTGGAGATGACGGAAGAGGAAAGGTGCTAGTAATTTTATAAAGCGTTTGCCTGTTTGTTTTTGTTAACCGTCTGTGGCATCTTGCTTGATGCTACAAGTTTTTTGACAATGGCATTGAGTTTGAATTGATGTTGATAAACTATTTATTTCATCGCATGCGGCGGCATTTAGCAACTTGTTAGTTTTCGTATATGTACTTAGTATTTTTGTTTTTGTTGATATGCCGAATTCAATCATTTAGTTCATTGACTGTGACAATGATTGCCAAACATTTTTTTTTGTTTCCAAAATAATGTTTTCAGTTGGCAATTACATGTTTTTCTACTTTATGGCAATACATAAATATTACTGTTGTACATTTGCGGCTGTCTGTTACTGAATTATGTAGTATGTACTACAATTCATGAACTATGCCTGTGTATCACATATGTATGTACATATGTAGTACGCTAATTAATTTTTAAACACATTCATATGTAGTATGTTTAATCGGAGCGTGTCAAAAAAGTGAGCGCCTGACAGGCACTAGGCTGACTTGCTATGCAGAAATTTAGTTAATGTGTTGATTAATGTTTTAACAATACTATACCCTGTTTATTTGTAGATGATATTTATGTGAAACGTGTGAAGTGCACTAGATGCTTCTGAGAATGAACATATGCATGTACATATATTCAATAAAAACTTCTTACCCCTGTAACACTCTAAAGCTGTGTCTGTGTAGATTTTGAACCCATGTTCTTCATACTCCTTACGCACATACAAATATAACAATTATAAATACGGTCGTCATACCGCACGCATAAACGTATGCGCTTAAATGGGCACATCGTGACATAATTGTACATTAGGATGCATCACTCTCCATACAAAAAAAAGTCGATACAGTTTTTCTATAGAAATTATAAAATTTATTACATTTTAAGATTTTCGCCATAATATTTCGGAAAGAAATTAAGATTTACGTGAGCTGGATCCATTTGAAAAGAACTGAAAAAATCGCATTATTTTGATTCCGTTGATAAAATGTTATCCATTTTTATGTACACCTTTTAGACTTAAACTCTTCCATCATTTGAGATTAAAAAAAAAAAAAAAAATTTAAAAACTAATTTTATTTATAAAAAACTAGATTTTTAAGTCTTTTCAAGTCCGTCCAGCTCTCGTAAATCTTAATATTTTTCGAAATATTGTGGCGGAAGTTTTGAAATATAATAATATAATT